GTGGGTGTTGGAGTTGGCTCGTGATTGAGCGGCACGCCTTGCCGGGCGTGCCACATGTTGTGCATTGTTTCCGGATCTAAGGATTGTGGGGTTGAAATTTTTTTCGGCAAGCGCCGGGAATCGTTAAAGACGACACAACCGAGGATTTGGCCGGAAGTAAGTGTGGGGAAGGATCGAACTTGGACCGAGGCCCGATTTTTGGACATTCATTGCAACATGTGTCTACGTCGAGTTCATGCTTTCACATCCCTTATCTATCCGAGACACATACACGAGGTCTCTCTCATGCTATTATTGTTTACATTCATCCGTTTGGTTCATGGCCCGTACGTGCTTCATGTTGATCTGATTGGATGTTTCAATCCGAGTTCGAGGGACACACATTATATTCATTCTCTCTCCTTACCGGACGAACACTATTAGACACACGGTGATGGCCATACCGTGAAGAGTACGTGCTTTCTTTTCTTTTTCCTATTTTCCCTTTTTCTTTTTATATGATTATGTGTTTCTTTTCTTTTTCTCGTTTGTATAGTTCGTTTTGTTTTTATTTTTATGTTCTCGCATGAGCTTATGTGAGTACGTGCTCTTTCCTATTCTTTTGTTGGTCAAGCAATGAGGGCATTGCTTTGTTTTAAGTGTAGGGGAGGATTTGCGTGATTATGCATGCTTTAGGCGTATTTTCTCTTATTTTTAGTTTTTTATTTTATTTTATTTTTCGTTTAGTTGTGTCGTGGACCGGTTCTGTTTGTTTTTGTGTGTTTTGTGTCGATTTCCCCATATGAGAATTGATGTGAGTCCAATTGCTCGGAATGACTAAGTGGCTTGATTGGATTGTCGTTTGTGTTCATTATTAACTCTCATGCTTTATGTGAACAATGATTTTGACGGTTTTTATAAAATGAAATGATTAGTTGTTAGCATTGGAACTCACATGTGAATTCACGAGACTTTCTTGTCCTCTGTTCGTTCTTGATTGAGGATCTTGATCATGCTTGCCTTATGTTCGATTGTTGATTAAACGTGTTATGCTATACACTTCGTGTACGTCGTGATTGAGTTTTGATGATTATGATTGTATTCGTGATGTACCTTTGTGTGCCACCCCCTAAAAAAAAAAGAGAATAAAAAGTGAGTTCGCGAGGAAGTATGGATTAGACTCCTCTTATTCCGAGCCACTTAGTGGATTGGGATAATGAGCCCGGGAAACCGGTCTAGGAAACTCGAGGAAACCCCTCGAGGATAAACCTAGGGAATCTCGTCCGGAAATCTTGTTTGGAAAGAGAAGCTCACGAAATGAGTTCGTGGGAGTCGAAAGGATTAGGCTCCTCTTGGCTCGGTTAATCTTCTAGATAGATCGGGTCAATGAGCATGGGAAACCGGCCTAGGCGACTCGAGAATAACCCCCGAGGTTAAACCTAGGTAATAATCGTCCTAACGGCCTCCATTTGGAAAAAGCGACTCATTAAAAAAAATGGAAAAATGAAAAGAAAAATGGGGGTTGGCTTATGGTCTCGATTTATTATCCTATACATTGAGTAGACCGTTTTGAGCTTTTTGCACGTGTTTATTGTAGAAGAAAGTTTGCATTTGAGTAAATCATGATTGAATAACTTGGGACTTGTTTTTTTTTGTTGGATTCACATGTGGGAACCGTTCTCTCAAGTTTGAGTTTTATTTTGTAAATAACCGAGTGATTAGGAGAGTACATAATGCATGTTTGTTGATCTTGGACCGCTCGATCTCTCCTTTCAACACTACTTGTTGTTTTGTTTGCTTGAGGACAAGCAGAGGTTTAAGTGTGGGGGAGTTGTTTGTTGTGTTTTTGTCCTTATTTTCTTGTGTTTTATGTGTTTTATTTTGTGGTTCTTAGGTCCGTTTTTAGGCTCGACCGGTCCGTTTTGTCGTGTTTTGTATATTCTTGCTCTTGTATAGCTTGTTCGTATTTTTGCGCGTTTTTTCTTTGTTTTTGGTGTGATTAGGTCCATTTCATCGCACACGAGGAGACGAACCGTCCGAGCCGACCGAGCCGTCCAATATGGAAATTCCGTCCAAACCATACCCGGAGGAAGAGCATTCAAAGACAAGAATTTTGGTCCAAGTTTCGGGCGAATCGGAGTTCGGTGCGAGAAGATAGAGCGAAACGAAGAATCAAGCACGAACCGAGCCCACGCCCGCACGCACGCCCACACGCCAAGCACACTCGCGAGCTCGCCTCAATTCTCGCGAGGTCGAGAGCTTCTCATTTGCCATAGCCACAGCACGCCGCAAGCTCGCCTCAATTCCCGCGACGTCGAGAGCATCTTTCCACCATGGTCGCGAGCTCGCCGCCGATTCCGCGACGTCGAGAGCCTCGTTTCGCCATGACCGCGAGCTTGCTGAGAGATCCGCGATCTCTAGAGCCCCCTTCTCGTGCACACCCGTCCGTCCTCATGCCGTGCTCACGAATGTTTTAGCGTGGTCGAGAGTGCTTCATTTAATCTGCGTGTTTTTTGTGTGTTTTTGTGGTGTAGCTATATAAAGACATTTTGCTTTGTATTTTTGGATCAACCCTCATTCCCCAACGTTTAAGTTGGGAAATCCTCTCCATTTTCTCTCTTTTATTTTTTTATGCTTTGGTTGGAGACTCATGACTCGATTTTTCCGGTGAAATTCCGGTAACTTTATTTTCGATCAAGATTCAAGTTTTACGCACTATTTTCATCTACGCATGCGATAGGAGGGTGAGTACCTTGCTTAGGGCTAATTACTTCGAGTTTGTTTTTCGATTTTGTGTTGATGCTCGATTCTAGGTTTTCGCTCTATTTTCATTGCTTGCTTTGGTGTGTTAGGATTCGATATGTGCTTATCTAGAAAGATTTCAACTTTGCTCAAAGCGTAATGATTTAGTGTAGAAAGCTCGTGTTAGAAGACCTAGGATCGTTATGCTTGCATGATTTCTCTTGTTATTTTTCTTTTTCTCGAGTCATGGGGATTCCGGTAGACCTAAATTCTGATCTTTTTCTCTATATTTGCATTTCCCATCATTTGCCCTTAGATTCGTAGTTCAAGTGCGTGCAATCATCCCCCAATCAAGCGAGTAGCATGTTTAGGACCTTGTTTTCGGTTGTGTGACTTTAACGACTAGATAGTGAACGAAGCTCCGAAGAGCCTTCCTTTGAGAACGACCCGAGTCGGGTAGCTCGGTTATCACATGCCCAAAAATACTACAAACACTCAGCCCCGCCGGTCAACCAACGAGCGCCACCACCAGCTTTAAGACCTCCGTCCGTCGATCCCCTCTTTGCACCTCCGACGGCTACCCTGCTTCGAACCGCGACCTTCGAGCTAACAGCGACCGAGCTCTATTCGACCTTCAATCTCCGGCCACAGCGAGCCTCACCTTCGAGCTCAAGGCTTTCAAATTTGGAGACCACCAAGCCAAGCCCGATTTCTAGCAACCGAGCTCTGTTCGGGCTCTATCTCAGACCACCTCAGACCGGCCTCAAGCTCAACCGCGAGCTCGACTTTCGGCAACGTGACGGCTCTCGACTTCGGTTCCTCTATTCTCTTCCCGTGAATTCAAATTGTTTCATCCCGGCTCTTTCAATCGGCAAGGCATATTGGCTAAACTCCGGCTTGTTCGTTTCAATTAAAGTTATTTTGAGTTGGAGCTTTGTGTGTC